AACAATACCTATCATTATTGACACACTCGCCACGCTCATACTTGGGTTATGCCATTGATAGTTGCAGGACTATTATGTCGTATTTTGATTATTGTTCGCTTTGTTATATTCCTAGATTAGACAATTATTTAGCTCATACATTAGCATCTACTGCTTTATCCCGGACGACTATTATGTACTCGGACTCAGGTCCACCAAGCTCTATTTCTGCATATTTTGAATAAATGCCGTACAGGCTCCTTTAAAAAAAAATGAACACTGAGCAAAACACCTAAAGGACTGGTACGGTTGATTCATTCATTGATCTTGTATATATGTGCATTCATTAAATATATTAGAACCCTTTCCAACAAAAATACTTGGTTACTATTTAAAAAAAGTTTAGTAACAATTATATTGAATCTCCTATATTACATTGTATTCATATTCTATGAATTACATATTTAGATAAACAAATTAGACATTAAATTACTTATGTTGAACTTCTTATATATAATCTTGCATTTATATACTTTCAAATATTTATTTAATTATAAACATTGGGTAGAAAAAATGACTGTCAAATTATTAAGTCACATGAATAGTTCAGATAGTTCAGATTTTAATTTTTCCTTCAGATTTCCTAATTTATCCTTAATTACTAGTTTTTTACGCGCATTGCGCGATTGGGATAATGCCCAATGTTTTTTTTTTTTTTTTTGTAAATAAGTATTTTAAAGTATATCAAGGCACGAATATATTGGAATTGTTCATGCATAGATAATTGAATGTTGAATTTGTGTATTTAAATAAGTAATTCTCAGTTTACAAATACAAGATAATATATTCAAGATTAATTATAATTGTCAATAAAATAATTGTATGGGTATGGTTGAAACCATATACCGGAAATAAGGGAGAGCAAATAAAAATTAGGGCATAAAATATTAAATATATACTAATATTGTTTGAGGAGATTCTGACAGTAGATTTGTGGTTAGAGTTCTATTAAGACTTTAATATTAGAATTAGATTAATGGTGTTGTTATAATTCTATATTAGACTTTAATATTAAAATTAGACTAACGGTGAATTAAGGGTATTTAACGGATAATCATATAATTAAGGGTACTTTTCTCTCCCTAGGTTTTCCACGCTCTAGGGTTTCTGTCGATTTCCTCGACTCTACATACGACTTTCTTCACGGAATTCCTTTCCGGTTACGGTTTTCTGATTGAGCAGCAACAAGCGCCGACGGAACGTGAAGCAGCGGCTCGGCTGGGTAGCGTGAAGGATGGCGGACCGAATGGATGTTGCGGGATTAACGGCACGGTGGGCAGATATGGTTTTGGCGGAGGAGGAGGGTGGCTTTGTACCGCAGATGGCGGAGGGGCAGACCGGTGAGGTGGTGGGGGACGGTGAGCCCTCATGGGGGGTAGTAGGCCGTTTCTTGACAAGGAAGCTAGTTAAACTTGAGTTCATGAGTCAGGTCATGGCGTCCGTATGGCAACCGGTGAGTGGGGTTCAGGCATCTGAGATACAACCGGGCGTGTTCTTATTCGTTTTCCATCACATAACGGATGTACAACGTGTTCTTGATGAGGGGCCATGGTCATATGATAACAGCACGTTCGTCTGCAAGCAAGTCCCTGAGAATGTTTTGCCGGTTAATGTTAAGTTGGATACGGTAGACATGTGGGTGCAAATCCATGAGTTGCCTATGGGTTACACATCTGAGTTGATACAGGAACAGATTGGGAATTATTTAGGGGTTTTTGTGAAAAGAGATGATCGCTTTCAGAATATGCCCTGGAGAACCTTTTATCGAATTAGGGTTTCGCTTTCGATTGAAAAACCGTTGAAACGCCGAATGAAGTTTATAAAGCGGGATAAAACGAGTTGTTGGGTGTTCTTCAAATATGAACGTCTGCATACATATTGTTACTTCTGTGGAATGCTAGGCCACTCTTACAAATTTTGTCGGGGTGCAAGGGATTCAGTGATGCAGGTGGAGGATTACTTGTATGGCCCGGACTTGCGGGCAGGGGGAAGTAGAGGACCGAGGCCCGTTGGTGGCAGTTGGTTACTGCCGATGCCGACGGCAGGGAAGGGGGCTGTTTCGGGAGATGGGAAGTCGGGGCCGGCGCAGCATGGGGGTGGGCCGGCTAGGGAAACTGAGGTTGAGACCGGGGTGATGGCTGTGGCGAAACGCCGACGGGAGGGGTTGGAGAGTGAGGGGGTGCGGTATGAGGTGGAGGGAAGGGATGTTGTGATGACGGATCATTCAAAAAACTTACACCAGGCGGGTACTGGTTCCCAGGCCCGCCCAACCCAATGAGTACTCTTAGTTGGAACTGCCGTGGCTTAGGCAATCCACGGACAGTTCGAGAGACAGTGGACATGGTGTCCAGTAAGAAGCCGGATTTTGTATTTTTGATGGAAACGATGGTAGGGCAAGATCATGCGGAACGACTTAGAATTAAAATTGGTTTTGAAGGGTTGTTCTATGTGGACAACGAGAGGAATGTGGGAGGCTTAGCGTTGCTGTGGAGGAAAAACAATACTGCTACCCTCCTAAGCTACTCTAAGAATCATGTGGATGTGGAGGTTCGACTGGCAGGGGATAGAATTTGGAGAATGACTGGTTTTTACGGCTTTCCAAAGTGGGAAGACAGGAGGGAATCGTGGGAGCTATTGGGGACGCTAAGTGGGAGATCCTCGCTTCCTTGGGTTGTAATAGGGGATTTCAATGATCTCTTATATCAGCACGAGAAAAGGGGGGGGGGGGGGGAACCCGCACCCAAATAGTCTCCTTCGCGGTTTCGGGGAGGTGGTTGATGGTTGTGGTTTAGCGCAGATGGCTATGAGAGGCTATCAATTTACCTGGGAGAAAAGCAAAGGCACGAACAATTGGATTGAGGAGAGGTTAGATAAGGTGTTGGCAACGGTATCTTGGGGGGATATTAACCCCCATGCAGAGGTACATAATATCCTAACATGTAAATCGGATCACTATTCTAAAAATTGCAGAATCTTGCGGGCAGAGGAGAAGGGGTCACAAAGGATTCAGGTTTGAAATGGCCTGGTTGTTGGATGAGGGGTGCAGGGAGGTGGTTGAGACAGCCTGGCATGACCGGAGGACTGAGGGGTTGCTGAATTGTCAGCAATATTGTGGAAACAGTCTGATGCGATGGGGAGGGGACCACTTCGATAAATTTGGAGACCGGATTAGGCGAATACGCGCGAAACAGGAGGCCATTAGACATAGGCGTGATCCGGATGCCTTAACCGAATTTCAGAACCTTGAAGTTCAACTGATCCAGCTGGAGGCTCAGGAGGATACTTTCTGGAGACAGAGGGCGAAACAACATTGGTTGCGTGGTGCTGATGTTAACACAAAATTTTATCACAGGTATGCCTCTGCCCGGAAAAAGAAGAATTTAATTGCTAAATTAATGAATGATGATGGGGAATGGGTGGAGGGGGAAAATATGAATCTACTTGTTATGAGATATTTTGAGGGGATTTTTGCAATGAATAATGTTACATGCAGTGACCCTTTGTTTAATGATTTTGCCCCACGTGTAACCCCGGCACAAAATATGGCCCTTTTACGCCCCTTTGATGTTAATGAGGTTAGAACTGCCATTTTTTCTATGTTCCCGGATAAAGCCCCGAGGCTAGATGGTATGAACTCGGGTTTTTATCAATATTTTTGGGATGTGGTGGGAGTGGATGTATCTGAATTTATTCTTAATACCCTCAATTCGCGGACCCTCCCGAATTGTTTGAATGATACGAATATAATACTGATCCCTAAGAAAAATGTGCCTGAAACGGTTGGGGATATGCGGCTGATTGCTCTCAGTAATGTATTGTACAGGATTATGGCAAAAATGATGACCAATAGGATGAAACCGCTTATGGAAAATCTAATATCAGATTCCCAGAGTGCTTTCATTTCAGGGAGGTTGATCACAGATAATATCCTGGTGGCTTCAGAGGTGGGTCACTTTTTAAATCGGAAGCAATGTGGTAATGTGGGGTGGGGTGCTCTAAAGTTAGATATGGCAAATGCATATGATAGGATGGAGTGGCCGTTTCTGAAGAAGATGTTACAGGTGATGGGATTTGATAGGGGGTGGATTGATTTGGTTATGACATGTGTGACAACTGTGACATATCAGGTTGTGGTAAATGGTGTGCCTGGAGGAAAAATAATCCCAACACGAGGTCTCAGGCAAGGCGACCCCCTCTCACCGTATTTGTTTATTATATGTGCTGAAGGATTATCTTTATTATTACAAAAAGCTGAGCTGTCACATCTTTTCTTTGCAGATGACAGCTTATTGTTTTTCAAGGCAAATTTACAGGAGGCTAGTGTGATAAAACAATGTCTATTGAGGTATGAGAATTTATCTGGCCAGATGGTTAATTACCATAAATCAAATATTTGCTTCAGCATGAATACCTCAAGGGAAGATAGAGATCTTGTGGCGAATTGTTTAGGCGTGGATCAGGCACCAAACTTTGGGAAATATTTAGGCCTTCCGTCATTCATTGGGAGAAATAAAAGAGCAGTCTTCTCTTATGTGGAGGATAAAATCAAACAGAGAATTGGATCATGGAATAAGAAGCTGTTGTCACAAGCAGGAAAAGAGGTACTTTTGAAAAGTGTGGTCCAATCTATGCCTACCTTTTCAATGAGTATTTTCTTATTACCCAATACAGTCTGTTTATCTATTGAAAGGACAATGAACAGGTACTGGTGGGGAAAAGGGGTGGACAGAGGGATTCACTGGAAGGCCTGGAATAAATTATGTGTCCCTAAGAAATATGGGGGTTTGGGATTTAAAGATCTACGTTCTTTCAACCTGGCTATGTTAGGGAAGCAGGCATGGAGATTTCTTACTAACCCAACCTCTCTTGCGGCAAGAGTATATAAAGCCCGTTATTAGCCGACGACTTCCTTTATCGATGCCAAGATAGGGAATTGTCCCAGTTATTGTTGGCGGAGTATAATGGTTGCCCATGAAATAGTTTGCGCTGGAGTAAGGAGAAGGATTGGAAATGGGGAAAAAACTCTGATCTGGGGACATCCCTGGTTGCCTGATGATCCAAGTCCTTTAATACAGACAGAAATGCCTGAGGAACTGCGTGAGGCAAGGGTTGTAGGCTTGATTGACCAACAGACGAAAACATGGGATCCTCATATTTTAAGTGATTTATTTGAACCTGATGATGTGGCCCGGATATATAGGATCCCTGTAAGCCCGGAATATGAAGACTCGTGGTATTGGTTTAAGGACCCAAGGGGTGAATATTCTGTTAAAAATGCATACAGGCAGATTGTTGGAAATTATGAAAATAATTCGGGTACCTTTGATAAGTGGATCACATTGTGGAAGTTGAAAGTCCCGCCCAAATGGAAAACCTTTTTGTGGAGAGCCTTATGTGATATCCTCCCAACCACAAACAACCTGATTATAAAGAGAGTAGAAGTTGATCCTACATGTCCAATGTGTGATACATCTCATGAGAATGTTATGCATACATTAACTTCTTGTGATTATTCTAGAATTGTTTGGAATATTTCGGGTTTGCCTGTTACAAATATTATTGCTGCTACTTTTCCAGAATGGATAATGGGTGCTATGGCCAACTTAACGGAGGAGCAATTTGCCACACTGGTAGGAGTTCTTTATCATTTATGGAATGCCCGAAACGAAGCTGTGTGGAACAGAGCATTACCGCCACCTCCCGCTACATGGAGACGTGCGGCCGCGGCAAGAACGGCGTATACCCAGGCACACTGCCCGAGCAGTGTTCCACCAGCGCAGCAGCCTCCACCGGTGCTTCACGGACGGCCGCGGTGCTTCTTCGACGGAGGATTTCGGCCGCAGACGGGAGACGCGGCTTATGGCGTAGTATTACTCCACCCGGATGGTTCATTCAAGGCCGCAACAAATGACAAACTCATGGCTTGTTTGTCACCTCTTATGGCGGAGGCCCTAGCATGCAAAGAAGCGTTATCTTGGCTCAAGGAGCGGAACGAACTTGATGTGGATATGCTGACTGATTGCACACAACTACGACATCACTTGCTATCTAGTCCTACGACCATCCTATCTTATGAAGGAGTGGTGGAGGATCAATGTCGGGCAATTATGGCCCTTTTTACGTATTGCTCTTTTAATATTGTTTCTAGACTAGTTAATGTTAGTGCTCATACTTTAGCTACACTAGCTTTTGATCAGGAACACTCTATGTATTGGGACTATGTCCCTCCTGACTGCTTGATTCCTTTCATTAATTAAAATATGCCAACGTGCTTGGCTTTCAAAAAAAAAAAAAAGGATAAATTAGAAAATCTCAGAGAAAAAAATAGTGCACAAAAAAATAATAGACAATGTAGAGAATATAATCAATTGACGAATTTGAATGTAACGAATTTTTACATTGGAGAAAAATAAAAACAATATAACTAATAAAATTATTTCTCTTAATTAATTTATTGATAATGAATAAATTTTTTTTAATAAAGACATTTTAGGGACAATGTAGCGAATACAATCATTGATGAATTTGAATGTAAAGAATTTTTATATTGGAGAAAAATAAAGATAATATAACTAATGAAATTATTTTTCTTATTTAATTTATTGATAATGAATAATTTTTTTTTTGAATAAAGACATTGCAGACACATAATTCTAAATTAAAGAAATGCATATGTATTATTTTTTGTTGTAACTACTAAATTATTATTTAATTTAATAAGAGTAAAATAGAGTACTAATTATGCCAACTTTGCTAGGGATGAGGTTCGAACCTAAGACCTTTTTTATTGAAATCAATGAGTAAGTTAACGGTGAACTAACAGAAATTAACGGAAAAGATAATATTTAACGGAAAACTTAACGGAAAATCATATTCATTAAGGATAAATTAGGAAATATAAAGAAAAAATTAAAATCTGATCAACCTGAGCCATTCATTTGATTAAAAAATTTGACCACCATTTTTTCTACCCATTATAGGCCTAACTCTCTTGGGCTCTTATTAGTATAGTAGATTAAAAAATTTGACCGCCATTTTTTCTACCCATTATAGGCCTAACTCTCTTGGGCTCTTATTAGTATAGTAGATAGTAGATAGTAGATAGTGATGGGCATATTTTACACTCATATTTTAGTTACATCTTTATAATATTTTTATATTAATTATTTAATATTATCTAATAATTAATTCTTTTTATATACATAGTATAATCTATTCTTATACTATATATAATATATATAATATATAATTTATAAGAGTACATACTATGTACTTAATACTATATATATATATAATATATAATATAATATATATAATATATATAATATATAATATATATATATATTATATATATATATATTATATATATATATATATATATATATATATATATATATATAGTACGTACCATACTTCAAATATATATAATATATATAAAACACATACTAATTATATATACTACGTACTACATTTTTTTTTTTTTGAATGCTACTGGTTCTATTACATTGTAGTATCTGTTCATATACTTTCTCAACCTACTGAAACACAGAGAACCAATAACGCCACCCGGATACATATATTATATTACGTGTACTAGCTAAGTATATATATTATATAGTACATTATAATTCCTTTTATATATATATATATATATATATATATATATATATATATATATATATATTATAAATCTAAACTTTGCAATTGATTTTTTCTTTTTTTTGTACAGGCATGCATCATAATAACATGGCTGGAATTGTGGAAGACTCAGGCATAAGGTAAAATAATAGGAAAAATGAGTGGTAGAAAATGATTGGGAAAATATATAAATAGTTAAGGTTTTCTATTGCAAAATGTTCATTCTTCCCCTCTCGAATATTCTTTAAGGTTGTTATCAATGCCCATTCGCGGCTAATTTCTTGTTTGGTTTAGTGAATTGAAGCCCCGGAGTTCATTACGCTGTAAGGTTATTTGTTTATTTTTATTATATATATTTTTATGCATTTGAGTATTAAATATTCTTCTAAGTTATTTGAAATAATTGTGTCATTTAATTGCTAGGGAGGCCTACTAGTTATTTATTTGATATAATTATTTGCTATATTAGATAATGTTGTGCTACAAATTACTCTAATATTCAGTAGCAACTGGGTTAATTATTGACGGCTTAGTGATAATTGGACTCGGGTAGATTATTTTCCTAAATTAAATGCAACCGCTTGTGCTTGTGTTATTTAGTTTGTCGGTTTTCCTAGTTCCTATTGCTGCTATTAAATTAAATCTATAGCGTTTGTCTTAGGTTATTTAGTAGTTAGGGGTAATTAAACCGCGTGTGCTTTAGTTACCTACAACTAAGGGAAAACGGAAATGAAATAATTTCACGACAAATATTCAACTGCATATTAATTACTTTATAAATCAATGATCAGTGTTAAACTCCGGTGGTGGATCTTTACTGACCAAGGTTTCTTATTATAAGTGTTTTCGATATATTATTTTCACTGTTTATTCGTTCGATTAAATTTCTCGTTTATTTAATTTCTCTTTTATTTAATCTTTATTCTCGATATATTCCAAACCCCCCATTATTTCCTTGAGCACAAAAGTTAAACTAGTTACTCCTCGTGGGATCGATCCTTACTCCCGCTACTACGTTTGTAAGGTTTTAATTTGGGAGCCTACGACAGCTCACCAGATAGATAGTAGATAGTAGATAGATAGTAGATATGATTATTCGATCCATTAACTTTTCCATTAAGTATCGTTAATTCACCGTTACTCTAATTTTAATATTAAAGTCCAATATAGAATTATAACTATAATATTAATATATTTCTAATATGAAAGTCTTAATATAACTCTAACCACAAATCCCGGAATCTCCTCAACCAATATTAGTATATATGTAATATTTTATGCTTTAATTTTAATTTACGCTCCCTTATGTCCCGTATTTGGTTTCAACCATACCCATACAATTATTTTATTGACTATTATAATCAATCTTGACTATATTATCTTGCATTTGTAAACTTAGAATTACAAATTTAAATACGCAAATTCAACATTCAATTATCTATGCATGAAAAATTCTAATATAATCTTGCCTTGATATACTTTAAAATAATTATTTAAGAAAAACATTGGGCATTATCCCAATCGCGCAATGCGCGTAAAAAACGAGTATATATAGAGAAGAGATCATGTGCGGGTGGACTCACATTAAACATTACACTGGCACACTTTAAGTATACAACAGACGTACATTAAACACACAAACAAAATACAATCAGAACACAAACTCACGCACCTTAAGTACAAAACTCACGCATCTCAAGCACAACCCTCACGCACTTTAAGCACAAAACTCACGCACCTTAACCACAAAAACACACGCACAGTTTTAACAACTCACATTAAGTACACACTCACGCACATTAAGTACAAAACTCACGCACCTTAAGCACAAAACTCAGGCACTTTAAAGTTTCAACAACAACTCACATTAAGTACACACTCACGCACATTAAGCACACAACTCACGCACGATATTAAGTACAAAACTCACGCAAATTAAGCACAAACCTCACGCATCTTAAGCACAAGACTCATGCACATTAAGTACAAAACTCACTCACATTAATCAACTGCAGAACCGCACGGGAAGCATTCACCCGCACTGGAACTTAAACACACACACACACACACACACACACACACACACACACACACACACACACACACACACACACACACACACACACACACACATATATATATATATATATATATATATAATTCCAGTGCATGTGCATGTTTTCCGTGCGATTGTTTACTATGTACTCACTATGCATTTTAGAACACTATATTATGCATTCACAAGGCATTTTAGAACAGTATATTATGCATTATGTTACAACTAAATACGCATTCTTCTATAACTTTTAAAAAATCAATGAAAAAGCTACGTTTTAAATCTAAATCATAAATGCTAATCCCTAAGCAATAAAAATTGATCCCTTAAACCAAATAAACAAAAAACTCAATCATAAACTATAAGGCTGAGACTAGTTATTAGTTTTTTCTTAAAAACTTGTTCTCATTTGATATATATATATATATATATATATATATATATATATATATATATGTGTGTGTGTGTGTGTGTGTGGGGGGGGGGAGGGGGGGGGGTGCTACTACATTAATAATTATTTTTAAAAATATTAGGTCCGCACTTATTATGATTAAAAATTTAATACATGGTACAATCTAGAAGAATTATTAAATATGTTTTAACTTACATATATTTTGATGGCAACAATTTTTATTTAAAAAATATTATTACTAATTCTAGATCCTACCTACCAACTCAAGAATATTTTTATCCAAAAACTCACCCGCAAACATGGAAATTTTTATTTTTTAATTTTAATACCATAATAAAATTGTAACGGAACGAAAAATATTAACGGGTTGGCAAGAACAGGAGCTATAAATACACATACATCTCATTCTGCATTTTCAATATACTAAATCCCAACACCTTAGTGTGTGAATTATTTTTTTGCTCTGAAAATGTCAAGCAATAATAGTGTTAGGAGGGTGGGTAAGGGTCGCCAAAGAATTCCCCTAAAGAGGATTGAAAATGATATTCAACGTAAGGTGTCATTCTCAAAGCGTCGCCTTGGCTTGTTCAAGAAGGCCAGCGAGATTTCAACACTTTGTGGTGTGAAGATCTCGGTAGTAGTTTTCCCACCCAATCAGGAAAAGGTTTATACATTCGGCAGTCCTAGTGTGCCTGATGTCCTAAACAAATACGTTGCTGAAAGTGAAAATCGTACAATAGAAGCCAACGACACCGAAGAGCTTCTCCGTTCTCAGCAGGAGGAAAACATTAAAAATATGAATCTTCAAATTAATTTGCTTGAAGAACAAATTCAACATGAAATGAATGTAAGTAAAGCTTTAACTGAAGCTGCAAAAGGTATGCCTTCTATTTCTAATATCCCATTGGCAGAGCTACCTTCCATGAAAGAGAAAATGGAAATACTTCGATCTAAAGTGCTTCAAATGCTAAACCGACCTATAATGCCGATCCAGACACAAGCCATGCCAGTCATCACTACTACTCAATCTGATAATGATGTTGATCCAAGTGGTGAAACTTCATTTTAAGAAGCCAGTGAGAAGACCAAATAGTGCCCAATCGGTTCTTAATAATTAGAAGGTTTAAAAGATTATATTTACTGTATTAAAA